GTCGCATTTTGGGGTAGTCTGATGGTAGTGTCATGGTTTGAACATCTTATGGGAAGTCAAAATCTCTTGCAAAGCTTCAGGATGTCTCATTTCTGCAGTGGAACTGCTGTTCTACTTTATTTCTTCCATATCTTAGAGCCAAGATGTAACTGATTAAAATTAATGCTCCTTGATAACCGTAACTTTCAGATTTTGCTGCTCCTTCAGTCTTTAAACAGCCTAGCAAATAGCCCAGTAGAAGGCAAAACCTGATAGTTTATGCCTTTGGAAGTGTTAGTACTCTTCAATAAAAAATGCCTGTCTGATTGCTTGCAAACATAACTTGTACATTATTTCTGCTTATTGTATCAATTGTCTAACATGGTTTTTGACTTAGAAAATGTCTTTGACTGAAGTGTACAGATATTGCTTAGCTACCCTGTGGGGTGGGTTTGTTTTTGATTTGGTAGTTTGTTGGGTTTTTTTGTTCTTTTATAAACCTCTTCACAGTACACGTAGCGGTGATACTGTGTATTCTGAAGCAATGAATGCCATGAGCATATGAGAACTTAATGTAATCCACTTTTAGGAGTAGATTGTCCTTGTAATGTTATAAATGTTTGTGTGAAGTTGTTACAGGAGCTTAGTCCTCTCTAGAATAGTTTGAATTAGCTTGGCAATAGACTGGTTTACATTAGAATATGACATTACTGAGGCAGCAGAGAGAGCTCTAAAATTTGCAGGTAATGTTGCAGTAAATGCAACATTACCCGAACCGTTTTGTGTTTTCCTAGTGCTTTCTTATGGGGCATATTCAAGCAACACTGAACAGTATGTTGGGAGGGATGCCTGGTTGCTGTGGATGATGCCATCTCTGCCTTCAGGTATATGTGCTGAAAAAGTCATACTTCTGTCATTGTGTTGTGTTCCAGGATATGGACAAGTAAACTGGTTGTAGTGTAATACATTAGCATATGAAATGCTTACCATGGTTTTTAATTTCAGGTAATCATGACCATATACTACATTTTTTGTGGGGAAATGCTGATGCTGCATTTTACCGGGTATCAAAACATGTTCAGTTAATTAGAGCCCTCTAGACAGCCTCCCTGCACGTCTGGGCACGCCCTCTCCTTTCAGATTTATTCCCCACCCCATGTCCCCCCTTCATACAGGCTTCACAAAAACAGCTGATGGGTTTGAGTAAATACTCTGTGATGATTTGCTTGAAAGAATCAAGTTCCAGATGGAGTACCAGGAAAAGTGAAAAATTATTAATGTCTGCATTGTGACACTAACACAAAATAACTGGAATTCTTGCAGTAATTTGTCAACCTGTGAGTTGAATAATGTATTGTAATTATCTGGTTTTGATTCCTGTTTACCTCACACTGAACAATGACTGTCCCCCTGCCCTTTAACAGCACACCCTTGGACACCTCTTGCTAATTAGTAGAAGTAACAAGGTCTTGCTCTGAGCCCAGTTCTGTATGTTGTAGTGTATTTAGTGTATTTCTGCGGGATCTAGGGCTGTTGGCAATCAATCCCTTCTCTTTTTAGGAGAGTCTACTTGCCAAGCTTCTTTTGTTGTGATTTTTTGTTGTTGTTGTTGTTGTTGTTTGTATTTGTTTGGTTTTGGTTTGATTGTTTTGTTGTTGTTTTCCAAGTGGTACTGCTGTTACCCCAAGTTCTTATTTCAGTTGAGGAAGGGGGAAACGTAGAGCTCAGGTACGGAAGACTTTTTCTGCTGTGTGTAAGCACTGGAGGTACCAACTGAAATTTGGTAAGCCGAGCTTTACTGAAGGCAAAACCAGCTGGACTGTTTTGCACTGCACTGTAATGTGTTGTGGAGGCCAAGCATTCATAATGCTTGATGTAAGACCAAGTCAAAGCAAATTTATTAGTATTTAGTTTAGAGAATTCCTCCAGTCACTAGTTGCCAGGGACAGTGTGTTCTCAGCGAGAGCATCTGTTGTGTCTGTGTTTCTGCTACTGACCCCCCCCATGGAGGAGATGCTGGGCTGAGGTTAATTTTTCATTCATCCTTCTATGGCAAATCTAAAACTAATGAATTTCTCATCACCAGGAAGTGTTTTCATAAGCTTAATGAACGTATTGTTGTATGGAAAGTTATGGAATGTCAATTCTTTAAGGAGTAATGTTCATTTAGATTAGACATTTTTAAATACCATAGCAGATCCTCAGGAATACCTCTCTTTCTATGCAGGATTCTTTCAGGACTCTAAATATAGATGTGAAGCTGTATTTTAAGCTGCTCTACTTGTTCATGAAAGTAATGATTACTGTAGTGATGATTTGCTTTAAAAATAGTTGAATTAGTAATTTATTTCTACAGATGCTCTGGCTATGTTAAAGTCCAGAGTACTGAGTAACAAACTTATATATGTAAATATCCACCTTGGTATGTGCAACTTTAATGTGCTTCCTCATTTCTCCACTCAGTAACAAATCTGCTTTTATTTTTTTGGAGCTACTTCTGCATCAGTTGAAACAAACTTCACTTAGCTACCTGTGCTGTTTCAAATTTTGGCATTATTAGCTACATATGTTGTAAGGTAATGCACCATTCTTTAAATTATTGCAGTTTTATTCTTGCTGAGTCTTGAAGTTGCCTATTTTCTGCAGAATGAAAGCTCTTGGAAAAGGTAAGACTTCTGGTTTGATTTGAGCTACTGCTGAATCAAAATGGAATCAACTTTTGTTGCATGACTAGGTGAGCAAGCTGTGTCAAGGGCTAGTATCCAGACAAGCAGAAACAAGTTTCAATGTGTCAAAATAACAGTGAAAGCAGAGTTTGCAAATATTTTTCAGCACTTGATTTTGTGATTGACTTAAACTAATGGAAAATTATTCAGAACAGATTCTTGCTCTGCCTTCAGGGAAGACTTTTTTTTAAAGAACTCTTCAATCTGCCTGAAGTTTCCTAATTAAAGGTGAAAGTGAGGGTACTACAGTTGTTTATGTTTCTTCAGGGATTGAATAATAGTCGGTAAGCAAAAGATCTAGATCAGCCTTGAAGAACCAGGAGACGTTTTAGCTAGGCAAGTAATTTCATCTTGGGGATCGGAGCGGGGCAGAGGAAGGTGTGCTGTCTGATCTCAGTATCTTTTTTTTTCTCTTTTCTTGATCTTTTTATCTTCAGTCTGAGTCAGATGTTCAAAGTACCATGTAAAGACAAGGTTGTGGGCCAGAATCCGCTCTGTGTTTGGTTCATAGTGAGCAGACAAATTCCTGAAGTTCTACAGTAGTCTTTCTTTGGACACTGCTGTTTTGTACTCAGAACTGTTTATGGGCCCTGCAGCTTTATACTTTTCATGAGTATGATAAAGGCTTTGTTTTGAATGTAGTCACTCAAGCTGTGCTTCCAGCTGAAGAAAGTAAGATTTAAGGAAAAAAGTGAATTTTGAATAATGCAAGAAGTAACTTACCTTACCCTACTTAGTGTGCTGGCTTCATTTTATGCTTTCCAAAGTATTTGTGCATGAGAGTTTATTTTCTTTCCCCTGCTGTGGTTTCCAGAATGGCTTATATGGTTTCTGTGAGGATTTAAACTTACTTGTTAAGGAACAAATCAAGAGTCGCTTCTCAGAACAAACTTGTTTCCCAAAGTCTTTGATTCCTCTACAGAAATATGATTACAGAATTATTCTTCAATGTACTTAATCAGCATTGCTATGCCAGAAGTCTAATATTAGTATTATCAATATTATTATAATCTTTTCTGATCTTGTTGCAACTGTCTTGTATTGTATCCAGTATTGTCACCATAGTTGAAACAGTGAAATAATTTTGAACTTTAATATAATTCTTATGTGAATTGTGAGTTATTCTGCCCACTGTCCATACTTAATCCTGATGTACATGTCCTGCTGCACCATATTTCAAATATGTCGTTATATCAGTATCCTTGTTTGGGGACACCACACTCTGATGTCTGCATTTTTGTTTAAACACCAGAGACCTGTTTGTTTGCTCATTGTTTTTGATGACAAGTGTCCTCCTTCCTGCTCTTTGATTGGAGTATAATCTGTCATTCCAGACAGGTGAAGGTGTTCAACAGGTGTTCATTTTCTTCAGTTGGGAAGCTAACCTTTGAATGCATCTTCAGCCAGATTCCCTTGTCAGATCCAGTGAACTTCTTCCTACCCATTCAGGTTTTAATTGCTTTGGAAGCCCCCTTCTGGCCGACTCCCCACCCACTGCAACCATATATTATAACTCTGAAGTTCTTCCTGCCTCTGGTCTCATTTTTAGTGCTAGGAGCCTTTCATATGGAGTGCTACAGAGGTCATCCAGCTCCTTTGGACTGTTTGATCTTCTCTGTCATTCACATCCTTGTAGTTTTGGTACTTAGGTGCAATCTTGGTGCTCATTAGGAGCTTGTCACTGTATGTTGCAAGGGTTCTGTGCTGTTTTTTGTTTGTGAAACTCCACCCCATGTGTGGTAAGTTGTCCTCCACCGTCAGTCCATGTCAATCCCACCCCTTTACCTTTCTCTTGGGTTTTGGTTGAGGGTATATGGCTCTGCTGTGCTGGAGAGGACACTGGAATTGTTTTGTCATTTGGCTAATCTTGTGTCATCTTTATAGAAGATGGAGACAGTTAACTGATAAGGAATTGCATTTCAATGACTCTGAAAGGGTCCCACGTGCATCTACAGTTAGCTGCCTCACCATCATGGGGACAGGGTACTGCTGCAGCCCCAGAGCTGATCACAAACCTCCCTCTCCTCTCTATTTCAACTCAGATGTCTTAAATAACCCTTTTGAAATCTTCAGCTGCCTCTGCTATGCATTCCTGCCTCAAAGGGCAGGAAAAAGGCCTTCAGGCCAGAGAAACAACAGTCTCTAGGTGCTCTGCATCAAGGGATGAGGACTGAAGTTTTTCTTCACTGGGGTTGTTACTTCTATGTTGCTGTTCTGATGTCTGACGACTAGGGAATGCTTACTGTCTTAAAATCCGGGTTTGGCTAACTTTTTAAAATTTCTTTTTAATTCCAGAACATTTGAATCTTCTTGGGAAACATGAAAACAAAGAGCTGCTTTTAAAATATCTTCCAGGACAATTGACACGTTCCAGGGAAAATAAGTTTTTTTTCCTGCAAAGTTCAGAAGAATCTGCATTCTCTGAGATTTTAAAGAATTATAAAATGAAAACGGTTTAAAATTTAGCTTTCAAAATGAATGTTGGGAAGTCCGACGACAAAGCAAAGAATGGCTTGAAGTCTTCCTTACTTATAAGGGATGAAAATGGAAATAGCTATGCATGTGACAGAGGTACACCTTCCTCAGAGAATTGTGCCACCAAGATACACGGTAATTCAACTGCCCAAAGTATAGTGGCTGAGCATGAAGATGGTACCATTTTTGAAAATAAGGGTGACTTCAAAAGTCTTTTAAAACAGCAGCGTATTGATGTACTTGATCTGCAGAAGACACCTGGTAAATATAGCTGCACAGGAGTTCCATCGGGAGATACAGATGCTGCATGCAAGTCTTCTGTGACTGAGCAGACTTGTATGTGTCCTTTGAACTGTGGCTTGGAAGCAACGACAAGCTTAGTGAAAGGTGATTTTGCTATGGCAAAAATACAAAATCAGAGTATCAAACACTCAGTGCCTTACACTCAGACTGACTCTAAGTCTGTAGTAACTCTTCCTGCTTCAGAGCAGAGCATGCAGTCCCTGAAAAATGACAGGGCATGCTGCCAGCTGAGCACATTGGATGCTACTAATGTTACAGGTGAAAATCTGAGAACTGATCAAAATGATGACATACATCTGCAGGAAACTTTGGTCTCTTCTGAAGTATGTATCTCAGAGAAGTTTGATAGAACCGGCTCAGAAAGAACACCTAATTTCATCTCTGCAGGTGAACACTATCAAAAAACCACTATCATGAATGATAATGAATCACAGGAAACAGAAGCACAGGCTGTAGAACTATCTGCTAGATGTATAGATCCTTATAAGCTAGATGCATTATCACCATGCATTAATATTAATGAGGATGACCAAGTGAAATCCTTGCAGATTACTCCTTTCCATGACAAAACTGGGAATTCCAGTGCTGAAACATGCATGGATAGTGTTGTAAATAGTGTGCACCTTGTCCCAGTAGATCAAATGGATGGAGAACAAGTATCAAACAAAACTAGTGAACCATTAACCAAAGAACAAATTATCTCTGGAAATGCTGCTCTTCAGAATATGCACAACATTCCTTCTGTATCTTGCAGTGTTCCAAAATTAAAGAAGACGGTTATGCCTGAGTTGAAATGTGAAGCAACTTTTTTGGTCTTCAGTCCAACAGCTGATGGAAGCAATTCATCTCTATGTACTTCAACTCCTAAAGAACGATCAAAAAATAGGACTTTCTCTGTTCCAGCTTTGGAAGAACTTGGAGACAAGTCTTCCAGACTAAGACAAAGTGAAGCATTTGTAGGAGGACATAACAGATCGGGGCTTAAAGCTAGTTCAGATCAAACTGCAAGAAAAGCAGTATGCAGGTCTGCGATGGCATCAACAATAACCAAAGCAAAGAAATCAGAGATAGTTAGTTTTCCCAAACCTAATTTTAAAAATGTTAAGCCAAAGGTTGTGTCTAGACCTGTGCCACAGCCAAGAGACAGTGCAGCATTAAAACAGTCTCCCCAGTCCCCTCAAGTATCATCTGTCTCCTCACCTTCAAGGGTTGGTTCCCCAAGGCAATTGTCATCCTCTATAAAAGTGCTGAAAAAAACAGTAGATGCAGCTAAAGATACTAAAGTGGAATTGCCTGTAAATAAGCCCCATAAGCTACATGTTAACAAACACCTTTTCACTAGCCAGGTTGGTCATGCCACAACACATCCCAGAAATGCTTCCCATAAGGTTTCAAAAACACCTGTGTTAAAGTTAAGTCTGCAAGACGTTGACAAAGCAAGTGCTACCCATCCGGTGTGCTCCTTGGCTTCTGCTGCGCTTCCAGCATCTGGAGAGAGCTCAGAAGAGATGTTAAACGATAAAATGGAAGTGACACCTTGCTCTCAAAACATCGACCTGACCAAAGGTGAAAAAGAGGAAAGCAGCAACATGGGAGTGCTTCTGGAAGCAACATTGATAAAAGATATGGCAAATGAAACATTTGAAGTGCACTCTGTTCCTTTGGTAAGTTTTTTTGCTTTCATGCTTACTTGTATGCTTTGTACATTTGCAAAAAAAGGAAATTCAATATTGCACAGTGTGAAAATTGTGGAATGGGTTTGGTGTCTACAAATGTAACTGTAGTGTTGATTTCTACATGAAGTCTCGCCCTAGTAAAGACAGTGAAGTATTGTTTTACAGATTAGTTGCAGTTGGCTTCAACTGCAATTTAATGTCTCCACCTTCATCTTGTTCCATAACACAATTTTTTTTAGTACAGTCTTTTTTTAAGACAATACAGTTTGTAAGATGTCTAATAAAAGCAAGCAAGTCTTAATTTAGTCAATCTTGTAAAATTGCCTAGCATAACTTGGTGAGGTTTTCTAAATACAGCTTTTAATGTGCATTTCTTCAAGATTATTCTAGTGGTGCTGTAACTTCTGATAGACATTAGAGATAAATTGCTGGGTTTGGAATTTTTCTTTTCTTTCAAAATGCGCTTTAGAACTAGACTTTTTAAAATTAGTTGTGCAAATGTTGTGCATATATGAACAGTAACGTTAAGTCACACAAAGTCCAGAGACCAACAAGTTGGTGAAACATTTTTATTTTTAACATCTTAATTTCACTGTCTCCTTTGTGTAATTTGGGAGTTTATTTGTTTGAAGTAGAGCTGAGACTCATTAGAAGAGTTGGGAGTAGTCAGGAAATATTTCTCATTCAGAGGGCATATACCTGGTTTTAGGCAGTCAGCCAGCTGGAAGGTGCAAACTTCCTGGCCGGGAGGTATGCATGCGTTGGTTGGTTGGGAAATATTTTGGGATGAGTCAGCTGCCTGTCAGGAGAAATGTGCTGCTTTCAAGTGCACTGAAAGAAGGTTAAAAGAAAAGGAGAAGGGGAAAGAAAGGAAGAATGTCAGGATTGGGTTGACCAGGATTTCAGGAGGTGTGATAGCAACACAGAATTGGAGTCTTGGTGCTTTTTGGAATCTCTCCTGTTGCTGGCTTGTGGATTAAATAGCTTACATTAAATTGGTGAATGCAGGCTGCAGCTGTTACTGGTAAAACTCTTGTTGCCTGAATTTTTGACAGGCCTTACTGATTTGCCAGAAAAATTCCAGTGAAGCTCAGTATATGGGGGAAGCTACTTAGAACATTTTCGAAACATTGCACAAGAAAGTAATAAAAGTACTATTACTTGACTAATAATTTAACTTGAAAACCTAAGTAAGCATGAAAGCAAGGATGGTCTGTTTTAGTTCTACAGTCTTTAAGAGTTTGCATTCTTTATCAGACCTTACTTTTTGTTTAAAGAGTTGGAGAGAATACTTTTAATTCATTCCTTGGCCAAAAAGGAAAACTTTGTGATTTTAATTGTTCTGCTTCTACCTGAAGAAGCAATAGATAAATTTGTATAAAACGTGCAGTAGACAAATCAACTGGATTAAATTTAAGAAGTGGTCTTCTTCTTAAGTGGAAAAGTACAAATTAACATCTGAAAATGAAGATGAGGATTGTAGTAAAAAATGGACAGTTTGGTACTCTGACCGAATTGCTGTAGTCAGCTTGAGTCACAGAAGAGCACGTGAAGAGCTGAACTGTAAAGTGTGTCTTCATAGGCTTGACTGGAGTGGCCGTGAACTAAAGGCTGTATAAACTGGAGCAAGAATTCTGTGTGAAACATGTATAAACGAATTTCACACATATAAACCAGTTATTTTATACCTGTCCTGGATGTACTTCTGCACTTATGTTTTGTCTATGGCACCCCAATGTGAAGGATTTTAAGCTGTTGTGACATAAGACCTAGATCAGGTAACTAATTACAAGGACTGTGACGTTTCAGGTAGTACAGGACAACTAACTTTTCAGGGTCTTAGCATGTGTATTTCATTGGTTAAGATCTTGAGAGTAGGTGTAGTCATGTAATTAAGTGGTTTAATTAGAGTTTGGGGAGGAAGAGGAAGAAATTCTGATGACCTCTGTAACCTCTTTTCAGTGTGTTGGTCATTACTAGTGATTAGCTTCAAACTCATAGGTTTGCATTGCTGAAGGCCATTCAGGAGATTGTTTTTGAGGTTCTGAACTGCAGATGTGGACAATGGGATAAAGACTAAGCATGTTTCCTACTGGGGTGGTCAGTATTTCATTACATATGCTGCAGAGGGAGTTCTCTAGTTTCTCACGACGGTGTGTGGATTGAATTGTTGGCTTTTTGGTTTCTGGTTTTTTTTCCTTAAAACAGATGCCTTCTGTGAAAGATGGGACAACACAAGGGAAAAACATACCAAAGAAAGACCAAATCACACTACGAAGTGTATTAACTCCCAAGGTTAAAATGGTGCAATCTGTGTCGACCTTGAAGAGAGGATGTGAAAATAAAACTATCAGCACTATTAAAACACCTTCTCACAAAGAAGCTCTTCTGTCATCAAGCTCTGGTAAGAAAATTTTTCACTGGAATATTACCACTTAACCAGTTTCTTAAAATTAAGGTATCATACTTAATGTACTTTCTGACTCAACTTTTAGGGTGGTATGGAGCTATTATGTCAGTATTAAATACAATACTGTCTAAATTGTAAATTGCTAATACTGGGTGTGGTGCTATTAGAAAAATCAATATTAAATATTATTTATATTTGGTTATATTATAGTATTTTGTGAAATTACAACTACAATTACGTACAAGAGGAGAAAATAGAGTGCTCAGGTGCAATGCTCTTGTGATAAGCAACTACATGCTATCCCAATGGGATGAGTACTTATTTCAGGACATAACATATTTTGTTCAACCTAATTTTAGTGCAGCACTGTAGTTTCTAGAAAAGGGAGAACATAATTGAAGGTGAGACTGCTGCTTGAGCTGCTAATTAAGCTCAGACTGATTAATAGCAAGGGCAGGGATGAATCTCATCTAGTCTGTAGGCTGCTGCTCAAATCTCATGACTAGAAACTACATTCTGTAACTGTATTATAGGGGTTCAGAAGTGCTCTGGTAGTTATGTGCTGGGGTTTTTTAACCAAGTGTGGCAATCTAACTAGTTGCAAAGGTAGCCTGTCTATGAATGACTACACTACAATGCACTGTAATTTGGAAGGTACACACCCAGCTATACCCAGTAAAACCTGTTCTTTTTTTTTCCTAACCCACTCAATCTAAGATTATAAAACAGTAAAAAAACCTCCTCTTAATTATATACAGGCGGTGAAGTGTGATAAAATCTGTATATGTATTCCTTTATGTGATGAGTCCCTCAAAGAAAGTGAGTATAGGCTATTCTCCCACATGAGGCTTGCTCATGTGAGGCGCTTGCTCAGTGAACCAGGCACCAAGCTGTAGGCTGCCAGTTTCTTGGAGAACTCATCACCCCTCTAAATACCAACTCAAACCTTTCCTGTCTGTAATTATGGCCTTAGAAGAAGAGAGATGGTTATAGATATAGAGTTTTCCTTTAGGTTATTAATCCAGATAGGATTTATGATATTGTCACTAGAAATAAATGTAAGCACAGGTGAGTTACAGGACTAACTTCTTTCCTTCAGAAAAAAAAAAATACTTTCAGAAGAAACAGAAGTAATTTGCTGTTGAAAATAAAAGCATTTATTCCCCAGATTTTTTTTTTTTAAATAAACGTGTCACTCCTTAGCCAATCGATGTACGTTGAAATGACAGTAGTCAGTAGAATATTTTCCAGATCTTTCCTACAGGAAAAAGGCTGCTTAAACAAAAAGCAGCACTTCAACATTTCAAATCTGTAGTGTGATCTAGTAAGACTGGAACTTTAATGATGCATATGAGAAGAAATTTGTTTTCTCCATGCCCTTTTCCCAGTTCCCAGTTTCACTGGTCCTAGCACATATTACCCTTCATCTTGCTTATGCAGTTTTGGCACTACAAAGTAGGGTTTGATGCATTCAACTGCATCAGGTTAACTTCCCCATCCCTTACAAAGGGAGTTTTTAAACGTGTCCTTGCTCCTTGGCAGACCTTGTACTGATGCAGATCATAGGATAGGATTATGAAGTGGGATATGGGACAAAGTAGGAGTTATTTGGGACTGCTGCTAAAGCCCCACAGTATTATGCATCCATACCTTTCAGGTAAAACCATACTTACTGCTGTTTTTAACATTTTTGAAGTAAAATTGTACATATATTTTTTGTATCAAAGTGGCAGTTTGTAAACCAAACTCAATTACCTCTTTAGGCTAAAGCATTCCTGAAGGGAATAACTCTTCTTTCCAGTGGAGTCATTTGAACACTTTGGTATTAAACTCCAGCCCCCAGATAAATCATTCAGTAGCTGTACAGTTGTTTGCTGTCAGGATTTTGTCAGACTACAGACAGACTAGCTAAATCCAGAAAGGAAAGGACTTCTGAAGGTCGCCTAGTCCAGCCCTGGCTGCCTGTAACTGGGTCATTACTGAATTCAGACTAGGTTGTTCAGTTGTTTGTCAAGTTGAGTTTAAAAAATATCCAAATCCTAATGAACTTGGTTTTTCCTGAGGTACTAACATATGTGCAGCTATTTCTTATCCAGTTATTGATAGTATTTGGATCATTGGGCAACAAGAGAAGTTTATGTAGTTGCATCCATTAAATACTCTGAACAAAACAAATGATAGTTTAGCTCTATGTCAACTCTCACGTGTGTCTGGTGAGGGACAGAAGTGGTGCATCTGTCCAAAATGTACTAGTGTGTGTATTATTCCTAGAATAATTAAGAGCTTGTGAGGGTTGTGTTCATAGAATGGCTGTTTAAGAAAGAAAAAAAATGCCCTGTACAAAACACAGTTACAAGATCCTTGGAACTTGTCAGGAGCTAAGATTTTGGTAATTTTTTTTCCACTTGTAAAATTGAATTACTCAGTGGTAGCATACTACCCCAACACAGAGAATTTCTTCTCAGGAAATCTTCTGATTCTCACCTGAGCAGAAGACAGCAGAAGGAGAGCAGAACTCATATCGCAAGCACTGTATTTTTGTGAGGTTATTTGCAGAGCATATTAAGCTAGAAATAACTGGATTTATTTATTTCAAAATGGTTACTGAGCATTGTTCACCAATATTGGTGTATTTTAGCTGGAACTTGAAATTTTTTTCTGAATTAGAAATAGGTTCTCTAAAAGACAAATCCAGTGTACCAAAGTGATTTGGGAAATGATGAAGCCCCATTTCTGCAACTGTGACCGGATTTCCAGATTTGCTGCAGGCTAGGTGCCTCAAAATTATTCTGTAACTATTTATGTCTTTCTTCATAAGAGGGGATGACACTCTCACTCTAAGACAAAAATCTTAATTCTCTGTGGGTAATTTTTCCATGGTGGTGTGTGTAGGTTTCTGTAGTATTGGGTGGCAGGCTGTATGTCTTTTGCTATGCTTGTTTTCTGTCAATGAAAACATTTATTAGAATTCAAGACACAGAATAGCATGTTTGACTTACCCATTTCTACTGGAAGGGATCTATAATTTTGGAGCCCTGGTAGAGGACTTTGAACTAGTTTCAAAATCAAAGCAACTCTTGTTTCTGTTCCCATGAAATAGACAGAGCATTCTGATTTGGATGTATCTTAGCCAGTGTGGAGGAGTGATAGCCTGATAACAGTTGAGGTGTTATGGGTTGTGAAGAGTCGTGTCTTTGCCTCACTTGAAGGGAGGAGTTGAAGGGGATTGGAGAAGCCAAGGAGCTTTGGTGTTCCCATGGAACATCACTCCAAGATTTTCTGATATCACACCTATCCCAGCAACTGAGTATTACCACCTGTGCAGTTGAACAAAAGCACTGTGACAGTTTGAGCCACAGGAAATTATTTGAACAGCATCAAATAGAAAACTAAATTATTTGCAGTAAATATGAAAATGTATATGCCCACCAATGCCTTTTTTACCTTCTTTTGCTAACTACAACCTACCTGAAATTATGTAAGGGAGAGGAGCTTTACCTGCAAGTAAGACTTCTGATACGCTATAACTTCATCTCCACTTCTGCCTTAAAATTACACCATTACTTTAAATTATTTCTCATTGTAAGAAACTTCACATTCTTGTTGATGTTTTAGCTCTGTCAAGGTGAGAGCCCTGTCAAGATTTCTATGTAGTTGAAACTCTTTGGGAATCTGAAAGTATCGGTAATACTATTCCTCTGCTTATTGTTAAAAGACTTGCAGAAATAAATGGAAACCATGTAAATAATCTGTGTAACAGAAATGTCTCTTGTTATGTGATGGGGTTTTTTGACATTTCAAGTACCCTTTTGTCTCTGATTTAAATCACTGGTATTCCTTCAGCAGTATAGTGGCCCTGTGCTTTACTTCTAACTTCCATTAATCTAGTGCAGTGGTCACTCTCTTTTTCTCTTGAGGGTATTTTCATAGCATTTAACAAGATCAATGAAAGCTTGGATAAAGAGAAGCTTTAAAGTATAAATTCTGTGTTTCCTTGAAGATATTTTTGAACAAGTGAAACCATTCCCTTACGACAAGTTGATCATACTGAAGGACTTTTCCTGTGTTCTGCAACTACCAGAAGCATGGGAAAAAAAATTCCCCAAATGGTATAAAAAACATGTGTAAGCAGGTTTAGTGATACTTTTAAATACTGATTATCTTTTTAGTTCATAATTGCTTAATTCCTGCAGCTGAATTTTGGCTTGATCATACATTAAATATGTGATTGAGAGAAGCTTCCATAGTTAAACAGAACAGACAGTGACAGATTAAGACTCAGTTCGTTACTGAGTGTTATTGCTGTTTATTGCACAAAGAAAGGCTCCTCAGATGGAAAATTCAAACCAAATGGTTTCAGTCAGTTTTCATACAGCTGGAGACATATATAAGCTTGGTAATTCAGGACTTCTTGGTACAGCCTTTCACAATACAAGTGAAGCAGGACCAAAACAATTTAGTTCCAATAAGCATTCCCACAGTCCTTGAGTCTTTGTTCTGACACTGAACTGGAAGCCAACCCAAATATAGTTACTGAAAATAATTTTTCAGCTTATATCATTCCTGTTATCTACCATATGACTCTTTAAAGCTGGATTGACATACTGCCATGGGGAAAATATTTGAAAACTTAACTTCCAAACTTAACAACATAACTTCCAGGTTCTCTGGATTGAAACAGTTATGACTTTACTCAAAATTCTAGAATAGACAGTCACTTGTAAAGGTGTTAATATATTTTCTCTATAATTATATAAACTAGTCTGGAATGCACCAGGGTCTACTAATAAGGCTTAAAATTTCATTTCAGTCAGTCTTTTTACGCTTTTCTTTTACAGAACCAGCTTCTTTTTTGCTTAAAAGCAGATTCTTCATACACTAGCTTACCCAAGAAGATTATTTGTCCTTCTTAGTTGAGATTAGTGGGTTTCAGTCTCATTTTCTTTAATATATCTAATTTAAACTGTGTACTAATTTAAACCTGTGTTAAAAGT